TTTACGTCAGCCATTATGCAGAGAAGGTTCAATAGGAACATTATATGGCTAAAGAACATCCCTATAGTTATTAGAAAGTTTTGGGACAGAGTTGATCCAAAACACTGTGGTCACCCTAGAAGATGATTTTCCAACCTTCACACAACTGCCAACTGTTAGGGGGCTGGGTGTGCACTGTAGCATGTTCAGCAGAATACCGGTTCTCTACCTGCTATATGTTAGTAGCATTCTCCCTTCCTTCCACCCACCTACCAGAGATAATGACAAGAAATGTTTCCAGTAGGTTCCAGATGTCCCCTGGGAGGAGGATTATCCCAGGCTGAGAATTACTGCCCTAGAAGACCTTTAGGTTTGGATCATTTGCCAAGATGGGGGCTCCCAGCTGCACAGGGTGTTCCTAAGGGCTCCCAGCTATTCCAAGAAGATTTTAAGCAGATGTAATTCAATCTAGTTCCTTCCTGTCAAGAGCTCTTGGAATGACTAGATTCTCCAAACCTGTATAACTGAGCTGGGTGTATAGTGGCCCTCAGCATATTTGGGGTCTGGGACTACCTTGGGACTGCCTGGCTTCTTCACCCACGGGGCCCCTTACTATTTACCCTGCACATGGGCTAAATTGCCATACTGTGGTGATGAATCTGCTCAATCCCTTAAAGATATTCCTATCAGGATTATGAGAACACTGGAAGATTCCACTCTATTTAGAAAACTCTAAAAACTCGAATGTTAGCAGAGATACTGCCTAATCCCTAGGGCTGTGGAATAATCTCTCTCCTTGTCCCTCCTGCTCCAGTAGGACTCAGGACACCATTTTTTCGTTACAGGAGGCTTAAAATCAACCCACCCTCCCTCTTCACTTCTCTCTCCAGACTGAAGAAAAAAATGATAGAAACTGAGCTCACTTACAGAGAGTACCAGATCCCGCTTTCGCCTGGAGTTCTTCTGCCCACTCCCTCTGGTCCTGCATGGGGAAGCAGTGATCCCTAGAGAGTGCCTCAACTCCCCAGTGCTCCCGGAGCCTGACTCTTCCAAGGCACTGTCCAACGCAGCGGCAGCACTGAGCATGTCCTCAGGGCGGGGTGGTGGCAGCTTGGTTCCATTTTCTGGCACTGACTCTGAAGATGCCCGCTGGATAGCCAGCTGTGTGGCTGGTGAAAGCTGTTTGGCATAAGCTGGGACCAGCACACGCTGTACTGTACCCTCAGAGGCCACATAATCATCCACCAGCTAAAGACATAAAAAAGAATAATCTATTAACCTGCCAGACATAGGGGAACCTGGTCAACTATCATTCTTTGACTGAGAATAGTGAACAGAGAATGGAAAAAAGTAGGGGAATCTTTAATGTCAATGGCTTATTTCTCTGGGACTCCTATGGGAGTGCTGGGCAAATAATTCTTGCATATACAGGGCCCCTTGTGTTGGGTTGTTACCATAGGGCTACTTACAAGGCCAAGGCATGTTTCTGATGCTTATTTGTGAGCAGTCATTTATGATTTGCTCTTGAGTATAAGAAATGTAGCTTCGTAAGTATTGTGTCTAAAAGGGATTAGGAAGGCAGTAATGACAAGAAAGGGAAACCAAGCAGGAAACGAAGCAAGAAAATTAAATAGTAATAACAATAAAGAGGGAAAATAAGAGGAAAACAGAGAGCAAAGCAGGAGATTCTAGAGAGGAACCCCTAGAGAGGCCATGTGGACAGCACCCCTTACCTACCCTCTGTTCCCTTTCAGGGGCCAGTCTGTGCCCTCACCTTGATCCTGGCCTGGCCATAAACTGTCGAAGCCCTGATATCCAGCTGACTGCCTGTGCCCTCATTCAAGGACATGCAGGGCAGGGAAAGGAAGGAGGCAGAGAGGGAGGAGAAAAGGAGGGGGATTTCTGCAGCCAAGAAAACAAAACAGTGGAAGTGGTGGTGGGGAACCACACACACACACACACACACACACACACACACACACTCACACACACACACACAGAGAAAGAAGTGGGGAGGCGGCTGAGATTTATAGACCTGTGAGCTGCTTTCTGCGCTGTGAAATCTAATTCCATCCTGTCGGCTTGGAAGCTTTCCCTGCCTGAATGAACCCATGATTCAGGACACCTCCTAGCCTGGTACCCTCTTGCCTCTTGCCTTCTGGTTCCTTCTCCCTGAGGCGCAAACCACTGAAAGTCCTGACCAAGCACAGTGACTATCATCACAGGGCTGTGCCTTCAGGAGAGCAATGGCCAGTTGTGGTGTCAGCTAGAGAGGAGGAGGGGAGCTTATACACTCACTCCTCAGATCCAGCAGATGGGCTGGGAGTTTCCTCCCTCTTGTCCACCCTGGGTGAGCCTTGTCAAGGAGGGAGAAGGAAAAGAGTGAAAGCAGACAGAGGATAAGGCAGAGAGCTGACAGACCTTCCACCGGCCCTCAAGTGGCAACACATCTGTTATTTTCTGTCTCTATGATCTCTATGGTTGCTCTATCTCCTTTTCATACTTCCATGTGTGACATTCTGCAGTTCTTACTCTACTCATCCAGCATTTTTCCTGCTCATATGGCCCCTGAGCAGCAAAGAAACTGAAATAGCACAAAGTACTTCGATGTCTTTTCCTGCTCACAAAATATGCTCTCCATCTGCCTCCTTCTTAGCTTCCCTTTCTCTCTACATGCCTTCCTCTGACTATTCAATCTCAATCATCCTTTCCTTTTGACATTTTATTTCCTTTCCTCTAATTCCCTGTCCCTTACTGCAGTCTTCCCCCAACATAAATGTTCCCCTTTCCACATAGACTCAACTTTCTTCTCCAGGACTAATGGTGCACACCTGTAATCCCAGCAACACGAGGCTGAGGCAGGCGAATAGCAAGTTCAAGGTCAGCTTCAGTAACTTGGCGAGACCAAGCAACTTAGTGAAACATGATCTCAAAATCAAAAAATTAAAAGTGCTAGGGATGTGGCTCAGTGGCAAAGCCTCCACTGGGTTCAATCCCCAGTAACAAAACAAAACAAAAAAAAAATTTATTCCTTCCTCAAACCCTTCATTTCCACTTGCCTCTTTCCTTCCCTGTACTTGTCTTCTATTTTCCTTATCTTCATCCTCTCCCTTTTGCTTTCTCTTCTCTCTCTCCTTCCTTTTTCTCCCCCTATGTCCCTCTCCTTTCCACATTCCTGTCTCTCTATACTGAACTCCTCTTGGCAAGCAGAGGGCCCGTGATAAAATATGAATGAGCCGCCTGTGCATGGCAGCAGGCATTCTCTCCAGGAGAGGCAGAGCCCTGCAGCAGCAGAGACAGCTGTGGAGGAGAAGGTGCCATGCAGAGCTATTGAGAGGGAGGGGAGGGCACCCCAGCACCACACACACATAAAATGACCTCCTGCCAAAGAGGCTGATGGTTCAGGAAGAAAAAAGGAGTGCTGAAGGCAGAGAAATTTGATGCTATTCTGTATTATCACAGATATAAACAAAGATTTAAAAATGGAAAGAGAAGAAAAGAGAGAGGAAAAAGGCCAGCAAAAGTGCAGAAAAGCAAACTTGCCCTGCTGCCATACTCACCGGATTGAGCAGAGGGGTCCCCTCACCCCCAGCCAGAGCACATCCTGGGAGCCTCATGTCTCTCTGAGAGGCTGGGAAGCCCAAAGGCCCAGGTCCCACTGCTGAGGCTGACCCCAGCTGCCACAGCTCCTCAATTGCCACCTGCACACCACTGCCCACACTGTCACACTCCTCCTCCACGACAGACAGAGTCTTGCAGTTTTCCCTGGGACTTTCCTTAAGGGGCCCAGGCTCCTCTGTTGGGGGACTGTGGACCCGGCTCTCCCCGTCTTCATCAGGGGTGCACACCTTCCCTTGTCTCAGCTCACCCACTTCCTCCTGGAGCCGTTTTAACAACTCATTGTTGGCCCGGGCCAGACCCAGAGCAGCCTCAGCCAGGCCCACTGCCTTATCCACCCGCTGGTAGATAATATGCAAGAGCTGCTCAGAGCTCTGGACAGCCAGGCCATGTCCAGTCACTGTGATGGGGGTGCTGGCAGGAGGGTTCCCGCCCTGTGAGCCTGCGCTGCCTCCGCTATTCTCACTTTTACAGGCACAGCAGCAGCATCGGGCCTCGCTGCCACTGGGAGGGGAGAAGAGAATGGTGGCACTGAAGGACATGGCTGATAGGCACAGTAACAACCGTGCTCACTCGCTGGGCTTCTCCCAAAGGTGCTCTGGTCAACTGGACTTTATGATGTTGAAGCACTGGCCTCTGTGGATTCACTTTTCTTTCTCATGGAGGGTGGTCAGAGGAGTCGGAACTCCAGGTTGTGGGTTCTGTGAAGGAGGAGTAGGTAAGCCGTGAAGGAGCACACAGTCCATGGCTGCCTCTCATGGGCCTGCAGAGGAGAGAGAGACGCCTTCTTCTACTGGCAGATCCTGTGCTCTTCTAACACAACACACTGGGTGTCACACTCACCCCTTACTGAAAGAATAAAGCCAACAGGGGCCTTCCTGATCAACATGGTTTCATTCTTCCTACACTCAAGCATGGAACCCCCTACCACTGCAACCTGAGTAACAAAGGGAACTCCAAAGGACCCACCGGCATCTGGAAAGATTAGAAGATTAAGGAAGAAAATGAAGATTTGTCCCCTCCTCCTCCCTATCTCATTCCCCCTCCCCATACTAGTGATTGAACCTAGGGGTGCTCTTCCACTGAGCTCCATCCCCAGAACTTTTTATTATTATTTTTTTATTTTGAGACAGTCTCCTAAGTTGCCCAGGTTGGTCTTGAACTTGCGATCCTCTTGCCTTAGCCTCCTAAGTCACCAGAATTATAGGTATGCGCCACCAGGCCCAGCTCTACCTTACTATCTTTACTATTTTATTGCTTTGACATAGTCCTTTAAGGAGTCCAGAACAATTCACGTAGGTTATCTTATCTGCAAGACAGTGCTAAGAAACACATATTACCCCAAATCCAGAAAAGAGACATGCAAAGAAGTTATGTCTTTTTCAAGGTCAAAGGAAGACAGCAGAATCCAGTTATTGCTACTTTCAATCTAGTGTTCTAGTTTTTTTTTCTTTTAACATACCATTTTTTTGTTGACATAAAAAATCCTTATTCTACCCCCCTCTCTATAATTTTCATACACATGCATTCAGAGAAACAATAATACATCGATCACTGCAGCCCTCAACATGCAACCTTTCACTATTATATCATTAATATTTGGGGGATGGGGGTATGGAAAGAAGTGAAAAGCTGGATCAAGAAACTGGGCTGGGGTAGCCCAGGGCTGCACAACTCCCTTGCTGTCAGAGTTGCATACCTGGGCCTCTAGCCCCTGCAAAGATTAGCTGCCTTGAATCTACCAGCCAGTAGCCCTTGGAAATAGGCTCTGGGTTGCCCTCACTGCCACTTCTCAGATTCTTCAAGGGAGGAGCAGATGCTCAAAAGGAATATCTAAGTAGCTAAGTGTTACCCATTTTTCCCACATGATCAGTCGCTATAAAAGGAAAAATGAGAATACCAGTGATAAACCAAACTGCCTCTCTTTTGAATTACTGAAGTTAAACAACTAAACTACTTCAGGAGAAAAAAATGGGTCGTGGTGGGAGTTTGATTTATACCACTGAGAACACTCCAAGGAACTTAAATAAATATTGTCATTTTCTAAATGATACTTGATTACAGAAAAAAAGAATCCTTCTGCCTGAAGCTTTGTAAGTGACAAAATCTTAAGTGTGTTTACATTTCTTCAAGTGATACATTTCTATCTTATTTTGTAAATTATATCATAACATCACAATTAAAAGGAAAGGAGGAGGTTAAGAGAATTTTCCATATATTGAGGTTTTGGGTTTGTTTGTTTCCAAATCAGCAATCTCATTTCAGAAACAAGCAATATGAGTACCTCTGAGGTACTAAAGCATAAATCTGACAATGCATTTAATTATATTTGGTTATTAAAAAATAGTCTTTAATTTGCTCTTTTTACCCTTTTTATTGAAGAAACAGCTTTTTTTATGGCAGATATTCGCTTCTTACAAGAACTTAAATCCATTTACAGCTTTCCTGTCATTAGAGCCACCAGAAGGCATGGCTAAACCTGAAACTAAAGGTTAAACCAAATTAAAACTAAAGGTTAAAGGAAAGCACTAAGCGATTCTATGTCAATTTATGGATGAATCATTTATGTATACTTTTCCTTCCTAAATAAAGGCCTACACTGTTCCTGCAGATTTGTTTTTTGATTTTGTTTTCAAACCAATATGATGCAAAGAACATTATTATTATTATTTTTATTTTTTATTATTATTATTTTGGTACTAGGGATTGAAACCAAGGGTACTCTACAACTGAGTTATATCCCCAATCCTTTTTATTTTATATTGAGACAGGGTCTCACTAAGTTGCTGAGGCTGGCCTCAAACTTGTGATCCTCCTACCTCAACCTCCCCAGTTGCTGGGATTATAGGCATCAGCAAAGGGTTTAATATTTTTTCGTACTTTTTTTTTTTTTTTCCAGTGCTGGGGATCAAACCCAGGCCTTGTTCATGCTAGGCAAACATACTACCACTGAGTCACATGCCCAGTCCCAAATGGTTTAAATTTTTTTTTTTTTCTTTCTGTACTGGGAGTTGAATCTAGGTACATTCTACCACTGAGCAACATCACCAATCTTTTTTATTTTTTACTTTGATACTGGGCCTTGTAGGGCCGTGCATGTGGCTCAGTGGTAGAGCACTTGTCTGCATGCCCAAGGCCCCGGGTTCAATCTCCAAGACCACTAAATTGAGGGAGGGAAGGGGAGAGGAAGGAAGGGGAGGAGAAGGCTTCACTAAATTGCCTAAGCTGGCTCCAAACTTGAGATCTGCCTTCCTGACTCAGTCTCCAGAGTAGCTGGGATTAAAAATATGTGCCACCATACCTGGCTAAGTGTTGTGTAAGCCTCAAGACTTCCCTCTTCTAGGTGCTGGGGATATAGCTCAGTTGGTAGAGTGCTTGCCTTGCCCTGGGTTCAATCCCCAGCACCAAAAAAAAAAAAAAAAAAAAAAAAAAAAGACCACCCTCATCTATCAAATGGCCTTCTTTGGCCATCTTTCTGAAATAGTACTGAACTGTAAGTTTAAAAAAAAAAAAAAAAAAAGGAATTCTCCTCTGATCACACCACTTATGAGTCATGTGAACCTATACAAATCATTTTACTTTTTAAAAATTTTTTTTTTAGTTGCAGTTGGATACAATACCTTTATCTTATTCATTCATTCATTTATTTATTTTTATGTGGTGCTGAGGATCTAACACACCGCCTCATACATGCTAGGCGAGTGCCTTACAGCTGAGCCACAACCCCAAACCAAATCATTTCACTTTTTAAGTCCCAGTTTTCTCGTCTCTGCCTGCTTTCAGTGTTTTTGTGAAGATTGCATATAACATATGCAAGGTACCAACAGTCACTGACATATGGTCAGTGTTCCACAAAGGAATGAATCTACAACCTTTTTGTGATCCAACCAGGGACATCCATCCTGATTCCCTTTTAATAAAATTTAATGACTTGAAATAAAATTTGAGGAAATTTGACTTAAATTTATTCATTTATTTAGATGCTGGGGATTGAACCCAGGACGTCCCACATGCTAAACAAGCACTCTCCCACCAAGTTACACCCCTAGCCTGACCATAAATTTAACACCAATTTCTAATAAACAATAAGTTCAAGGATAAGAATGCATCTATAGATATGAAACCTGTAATGCAACTTAGAAAGGTAATTGAGGAAACAGAATTTACAATTTACTTACTATTATGACCTAGACTTAGACTAAAGAGAATACTTAACTCAGCTAGTTTTGTTTGTTTGCAGTACTGGGGACGGAAGCCAGAGCCTCCTGCACTCCAGTTATTTATCACTGAGCTACATCTCTGTTCCTTTTTCAAAAAGTGGATTTAAGACAGTGTCTTGCTAAATTGCCTGGGCTATGCTTGAACTAGTGATCCTCCCGCCTCAGCTTTCAGAGTAGCTGGGATTACAGGTATGCACCAACAACTCTACTGGCTAAAAGTATTTTCCTATTGTCAGTTCACTTTGTTTCTCAATTTCTTTTCTGCTTCTTACTTTGTGTATTATCATACTATGTCCATTTTTAAAAATGTTACATTAAGGGCAAAAAATAGGAGTTTTCTTGAATTAATCTATCTACATTTAAAAAAAAAAAAACTGGTATAGTGCACTGTAGCACAATGAATATTCAAATGACTTTTGGTTTCCATGGACACTATTGTGGACAATTTCCCTGCTTCCTGATATAGTCTCCCATCTAAAATCTAAGATATAGAAAGAAATTGGGGTCATCAAATAATAAAGGAGTATTTCATATCACATTTACAAAGCAGATAATTTAAATGTGGGAATACATGATTAAAAACAAATCAAAATAGTAATTTCATTAGCTGCATACCTCTCAATTAGAAAAAAATGAACAAGTCCAAAGAAAAAAAAAAGAGATGTTTCTAAAAATTCTCTACAAGTAATACCATGCCACAGGGTGATTAGCCAAAATAGATTGCCAACTATTAAATACTCAAATGAAGGGAGAACAAGGGCTGTTTCATGGGAATGTCTAAAGAATGTGGAATGTTCTAAACATGAACTATCTAGAAAACAAAGCAAAACACACACAAGTTCCTAGAAACATGGAATAGACAGAAAGCTGAGGAGTTGATTCAAAATAATAGACCAACAGAGTAAAATCGGGAGGAAGAGTTTGTACGTGTGTTTGGGGCGGTGTGTGGGGGGGTTGTTACCAGGGACTGAACCCAGAGTGCTCTACCACTAAGCCTCATCCTAAGCCTTTTTTATTTATTTTGAAACAAGTTGGTTAGGCGGGCCTTGAATTTGCAATCCTCCTGCCTCAGTGATCCCAGCTGCTGGGATTACAGATGTGTACCATTGTACCTGGTTGGAGAAAGAATTCTTTCTTTCTTTCTTTTCTTTTTTTTTTTTTAAACAGAGAAAGAGAGAATTTTTTTTTTTTTTAATATTCAGTTCTCGACAGACACAACATCTTTGTTTGTATGTGGTGCTGAGGACTGAACCCGGGCCGCACGCATGCCAGGCGAGCGTGCTACGCTTGAGCCACATCCCCACAGCCTGAGAAAGAATTCTTATAGAAGTAAAACCTCCTCTGAGCCAGGTGTAGTGGCACACACCTGTAATCCCAGCTAGTTCAGAGACTGAAGAAGAAGGATTGCAAGTTTAAGGCCAATCTGGGCAATTTAGAGAGACTCTGTCTCAAAATAAAATATAGAAAGGACTGGGGGTATAGCTCAGTGCTAGCATAGCAAGTGTGAGGTCTTGGGTTCAACTCCAGTAAAACACACACATACCTTCACATAAAAACAAACACACAGCTTTTCTCAGCTGGTGGGCCATGTGAAAACAAGTGGCAGGCTGTATTTTGCCAATCCCTGGAACTGTTAGAGATTAGAGGATTATTGGTCACAGCTAATGAGAATGAGGACCATGGATGGAAGGTTTGACACCCTGGGGGAAGAACTGGTATTTCCTTACTTAATAAAGATGGGGGATAAAAATATTGGTCAAAGATAGCTTCAAATGTAAGCCTGGGGCTGGGGATGTGGCTCAAGTAGTAGTGCACTTGCTTGGCATGCGTGAGGCACTGGGTTTGATCCTCAGCACCACATAAAAATAAAATAAAGATATTGTGTCCACCTAAAGCTAATATTAAAAAAAAAAAAAAAAAAAAAGATTGTAAGCCTGTCAGGCACAGTGGCACATGCCTGTAAACCCAAAATCTTTGGAGGCTGAGACAGGATGATTGTGAGTTCAAAGCCAGCCTCAGCAATTTATCGAGGCTGAATAATGATTAGTGAGTTTAATCGCCCATATCAAAAAAAAAAAAATTAAAAATTAAAAAAACACAGGCCAGGGGCTGGGGTTGTGGCTCAGTGGTAGAATGCTCACCTAGCATGCATGAGGCACTGGGTTTGATCCTCAGCACCACGTAAATGTAAAATGAAGATATTGTGTCCACCTAAAACTTAGGAATAAAAATTAAAAAAAAAAAAAAAACACACAGGCCAGGGCTGGGGATATAACTGAGTTGGTAGAGTGCTTGGCTTGCATGCACAAGGCCCTGGGTTCGATCCCCAGTGGCAAAAAAATAAATTAAAAAAAAAAAAAAAAAGATTGTAAGCCTGAGTGCCACATACAGGATGGCACTATGGACAGAATAACAAAAATAAGGCAGTTGAGGACTGGGGCTGTAGTTCAGTGGTAGAGCGCTGGCCTAGCACATGCGAGGCCCTGGGTTCGATCCTCAGCACCACATAAGAATAAATAAATAAAATAAAGAAATAAGGCAGTTGAGGTGAGGCACCATTATGTTAGAAAAGATGAGTATTTAACATGCTACATTTCAACTGATGGCAACATCTTTCAGCATAATGTCCTGAAAACAACTAGAACTGAAAAATAAAAATGAGAAGAAGGTCTGAGATGGGTATTTAACATGCAAATTTCAAATAATGGCAACATCTTGTTTTTCAGTGGACAACACTTCTTCATAATATCAAAATTCAAATTGATAATGGAACTTTAACACAGACACTACTGCATTTTTTTGTTTGTCTGGTACTGAGTATTGAACCCTAGGATGCTTTGCCACTGAACTACATTCCCGGCTCTTTTTATATTTTATTTTGAGACAGGGTCTCACTAAGTTGTTTAGGGCCTCACTAAATTGCTGAAGCTGGCCTTGAGTTTGTGATCCTTCTGCCTCAGCCTTATGAGCCACTGGGATTACAGGCAGGAGGCACTGGGATTATAGGCATGAACATTATGCCCACCTCTACTGCATTATCTGTTAAAATTTGTTAAATTCATCATTTCTAACATCCTACACCTAATGTTGCCACAGTCCGGCTGCAGCAAAATAACGGGGGTGGGGGGGGTGACCAACAACTTGTATACATTGATACAGCAGGAGTGGGAGCCATTTATTGTAGGACAGGAGGGGTATATATATATTCCACACAGCTTATCTTAATTAACATAAACTAGATACAGCAGTCAACCAATAAGGAATCTCCATACTTAATGGCTCACTGGCCACCTCACAAACCACTCCCTCTGGCAAAATGCCAGGCGCCATCCCGATTTGTTTACAGACCCTAACATAATGTAACTACTTTTTTTCTATAATAGCCCATTTAACCCTGCCAACATTATTTACACACCTATACCTTATTCTGATTATCTTTATTTTACTCTAAAAATATATAAACTTTTTTTTTTTTTGTCCTGTGCTAGGGATACAATCCAGGGCCTCAAGCATGTTGGGTAAATGCTTTAACATTGAGTTCTACCCCCTAATCCTCAAAACATATATCTATTTAATTTACTAATACATGAAGCAATCCATGGAATGTCTGGCAAAGCAATGGTTAATACTGATAAATTATGTTTATATCAATTATTAAATATTAATATCATCAAATTTTGCCATTTCAGACCACTAGATAATTTATTTCATTTCATTTAGAGATGGGGTCTTTCTATGCTGTCCAAGCTGGCCTTGAATTCCTGGGCTCAAGGGATCTTCCTGCTCCAGGCATAGCCAGCCTCAGCAGCTTGGGAGGCTGAGGCAGGAGGATCTCAAATTCAAAGCCAGCCTCAGCAATTTAGCGAGGCCCTAAGCAACTTAGTCCAACCCTGTCTCTAAAATATTAGAAGGGCTGGGAATATGGCTCAATGGTTAAGTGCCCCTAGGTTCAATCCCTGGAAACAAAACCAAAACCAAAACAACAAAAAATGGGATCCTCCTGCTTCCACCTCACACATATGGCAGCCCAAGGCCTCGGGAAGCAATCTCCCACTGAGATATACTCCTCACTCAATAATTTATTTCAAAACCAAGGGTTCCATGGGTGTGGTGGCACACACCTATAATCCTGGCAATTTGGCAGGCTGAAGCAAGACGATTGCAAATTTGAGGCCAGCTTCAGTAATTTATAGAGACCCTAAGTAACTTAGTGACACCCTGTCTCAAAATACAAATAAAAAAATAAAAAGGGATGGGGGATGTAGATCAGTGGTAACGTACCCCTGGGTTCATCCCCAGCATGTATGAATGTATATCTGTATATATTAATCAATCAATCAATTGATCAATCAATAAATGGCTGAGGATAACTTGGTGGTAAAGTTCCCCTGGTTCAATTCCCAGTACCACAAAAATTTTTTACAAAACAAAATAAAGTTAAAGGTCACATTTTGTTCAAGAAAGTAAAGATAGCCAGGAATGGTGGTGTACCCTAAAGTCCCAGAAATTTGGGAGGCTGAGGGCTGGGGATATAGATTAGTTAGTAGAGTGCTTACCTTGCATGCACAAGGCCCCAGGTTCAATCCTCACAACAATAAAAAAAAAAAAAAAAAAAAAAAAAAAAAAAAAATTGGGAGGCTGTTTGCAGAAGAATCACAAATTTGAAGCCAGCCTGAATAACTTTGTGAGATTCTCAGCAATTTAGCAAGACTCAAAATAAAAAATAAAAAGAGCTAGGGATGTAGCTCAGGGGTTAAGTATTTGGATACTTAAAAAGAGAGAGAGAGAGAGAGAGAAAATAAACTAAGACCACCATAAAGCAATACACATGCGTTTTGTAAAATGCTATCAACTTTTAGAATTGGATGTTAAGAAAAAGATTGTCAATCTTATGAGTTGCCAACACAAAACCCCAGTTGTCAAACCAAGGTTTGTATAAAATGTATGTATTTGGGGTTGATTTCAGTATTGGTCTAATTCATACATGTGAAATGAGCCTATAAAATGTATTTATCAATATACTTCTACTTCACAAATATTTAGATAAAAAAGAAAGAAAACTCATCTCCTTTAGAGATAGTTTAGGGTGAAACTGTCCATAATCTTAAGTATCCCTTTCCTCTCTAGTCACATGTATTTTTGTTAGGACTAAATATATCAAAATCTTGGCAGTTCCCTGGCTTGCTTTCTCTCCATCTGAGTTTGAATTTTCTGCATGATTGAGTTCACCTCCAAACTATGAAAAACAAAAGTTTTCTTACTATTTAATAGAATGTGTGTGATATGGTATCCCTCAGATGATATATGTTCTCATAATGGGCCTTTGACTCACTCAGGGTCAGGCAAGAAATGGACTTTCTTAAATGTGATTACTGAAAGCACAGCAATTCATATCATAATCTTCATTTTGAGAAATAAAAAAGGAAAATGGCCACTTAAAGCTCCTGGTCTGCTGGTCAGCCCTGCTCCTCCACTTCAAGGTGGAAAATGGCTCACCTGTTAGAAGATTCTCTCAAAACCTATTCGTATCAGAAATGAGCTCTTGATCACACAAGAGCAGGTAAGCAGGATACAATTTTCCTACGTTTTAAAAGAATGACCTGTCTAATGAGGTGCGAAAAAATCTAAGACCTCATTATTAAGTGTAAAAAAAGAATTGTAGACCCAGAGGGCAGAACAGGATCTTAAACAAAATAAATCCAAATAATCCAAAAATTACAAGTTTACTAATATAGCATGGAAAGAGGTTTAAACCCAGCACAGCAAAGTCCTCGTTTACATTTGGTGGTAAGATTAAAAATTCAGGTTTTCGTATAAATGTGTCTGATGTAAAAGACTTTCACTGCATTTCTGAAATGGGAACCTAGCTCCTAGAAATTTTTTCGTGTGCCCATCAAGCCCTCAGTAAATGTTAGTTGATTAAATATTAGACAAAGATGACAAAGTGGGCACAAGGGACAGTAGAAACACCCCGACGAGACAGTGTGATTCAGTTACAGACAGGGTGAGCGCAGTGACGATGGGAGCAGAAATCCGACCCTAGTCGCTAGGCTGCAGGGGACCCGCCACTGTCCCCTGGCAATCCGGGGTAAAGGGTCATTCAGGGACCCACAGCGGACAGCCCCATGCCCGTAGGGAGGTCGGGGACTACGCTGGGTCAACTACTTTGGTAGTCACCAAAGCTCTGAGAACTTGGGCTAGGGGATGCGCTCGCCGCAAAAATACAGACGGGGCGCCACATAAGCGGGTGTCCCGCGTTACCGCATCCGCTGACTCAGCAAGGCCGCGGCGTGCGCGGAATGCCGAGGAGTCAACAGCGCCCGCCCGTGTACCTGGCCAGCGCACGCACGCGGCGAGGAACCGCCCGCTTGTCCTCTGGTTCCCAGTGATTGGCGGAGGGAAGACAGGGGTGTAGGGCCAAGAACGCCATTGGCGGCAATTCCCAGTCACTCCACGAGCTAGGGAGGGGAGGGGGCCTCATCAGGGAGGAACACGACTGCGAAGCGTTTTCAAGGCCGCCAGACGCCATCTTTAGCTCCTTTTTTTTTTGTTTGTTTGTTTACTTATTTCTGTCCTCCGCTGCTCACAAAGCTGTGTACACGATTATAAGTACAGTGGCCACAAATCAGTTTTATATGCTTGGTGGTGGCTGGTTTTAGTTACTGAAGGCCTTGGTTACAGATTTTTCTACATAACGCTTGCAAAGTGGCAGTTCTTATTAGTTAAAAGAAGTTTTAATCTCTAGGGGACCCTAGGATTCCCAAGCCGAATCAACTGAGTTTAGCTTTACTTTGCCTTGGTAAGAAAGCCAAGCCAACGAAATATTCGCAGAAAGGATTCTCCCCTTAGAAACTCATAGTGAGGACATGGAATATGAATGAGCTACATTCCAAGATGTAGACATTGAATACCTAGGAAGTGGCTGTGTACCACTCTCCCTTTTCTGGGAAGCTAAATCGTGTACATAATAATGTGCAGTGATGTGGGAGACTTAAGGTAAAACCCCATTAACAATCCTGTCACTGCTATGATTACAAAGGTCACCAGAGTCAGATTAGACTAAAAAAAAAAAAAATCCAGGTCTAGGCTTGTGGAATGATCCACATTAGAGCCAGTATTTATTAAGCAATGATCTGACTTGCAGTTTTTGTGAATAAAAATATACTTGGTACAGGTAAAAACAAAAACAAACAAACAAACAACAACAACAACAACAAAAAACACAAGAGAGCTCATCAGGGTCATTTTCATTATAATAAATTCAAGACCTTGGCAAGTAAGTTTATTGCAGTTGTCACTTAAGTGTCTTAAATGTCGTTTGAAATCGAGTAGGACACTAGCTGAGGAATGGATAGGTATGATTATCATCATACAGAGGTTTTGAACCCTGTAGTGGATCCTTCTATCTCCTGGTTGCTGCTAGTGACATTCCAGTTTCTCCCTGATCACCCATATACTTCCTATGCTTTCAATCCAATATACAAATATAAATATGTTGTAGGTATTTTCTATATGACTTCTTCCTAATAAGGGAGACTGGTCTTATAAGAATGAAGTGACCATACATATACTCCTATAGCAAGGATGCTCTGCTCTGAGACTGTTGTTTTCTCATTCATTTTTCTGAGTCTCTTAGGGAGAGAGATTTTAATTCTAAAAATGCAACATTATAACCAAAAATGCATTTCTTGTTTCTTCTATCACTTGTTTTTGCTTCCTTTTGGCCCCAGAATTGGACCTGCCTGGATTTTTTTTCTGATACTTTGCCAGCTGTGGAGCTTTTCAAACAAATCCCAACCAATAAACGACCATTTTGTCAAAAAGCCAAGAGAGAATTTCCCTTCTGAACACATCAACCAAACCACACATAAAGGCCAAAATATACACAGCTGTACATTTAAGAACGTGAGACAATAAAAAGCAAAACCACTTAGGCAAAACAGTCACTAAAGGTAGCTTTGAACCACAGATTCAATAAATTGCCTCCCCTCATTTGCCACATGAACTATATACTTCCTGATAATTATTTTTCACTAATCTGATCCTTTAAAACAGGAGCAGAAAAATACAGTAAATGCACATAGAATGAAAGTGCCTAAGTATGATAAGCATAGGGTTTCTTCTAAGCTCTAGTTTGCACATGAAATCCTGTTTTGATCATATTTGGGAATACAACAGAAAAAAAAATTCACATCCTAGGGTTTACGTGGAACACATAAAAAGAATCACTTTTGAAAATCTGATATGGCACATATACACATATTGTACATATACACAAAGAATAAACCCCAAGATAATTTTTTTACAAAATTATGCTTTAAGAAACACATACACACATACACACACACACTCACAGAGAAATGTCCTTGTGAAATTGTGTGTGCAAGACACACGGTAAGAAGGTATTTCCCCTCTCTCCAGGGAAATGAGTAACCCAATTATAATATCCCAATATTTTTAACCTATTGGACTCAGACAATTGCCACATCTAAGCCACCTGGTTTTGGTTCTGGGGAAGATGTGTAAAACGCACGCTAGAAGGCTTTTGTGAGGGAGCCTCAAATCTCTGCTTCCTTCGATGTTGCCCGTGGCAGAAATTTACATTATCCCTACACCCCGCAGTAAAAAAGAAATCTGTACTTCCCAAGCGGCTAAATTTTAAAATCCCTTAACCACAAAAATTTACCAGTTCTTAAAATGTGATAGCAAAAAGAAGAAAAAAAAAAACTCAGTAAATTTGGCTAGAAACAGTTGCACACGGCCATTCTGTTCTCAACTTCTTGGTATATTTAAAACCTTGACCAGGAAAAAGAAAGAGGAAGAGAGAGAGAAAAAGAAATGGGGGAAAGAGCAAATTCCTCTTAGCAACAGTTTCCTCACCCCAACACTGCCACAGATCTCTATTTTTAAAAATTTTGAAAACACACACAAGATTAAGGAGGAAAAAAAAATGGAAAAAGGATACCCGAAGGTCGTATGGCTCTTTGTATTCGTGTGTGTGCAAAAAGGAGGACTCGCGGAGCCCTAGCCGGCAAGCCCCGCCCCTCCCCGGACGCCCGCCCGGATTGGCCGCCGGCGACTGAAGGGCGCCCCGCCCGAGAGCACACGCGCCGCGCCCGAGGCACCGGCCCCGGGGGCCCACGCCGGCCGCGCGACCCGCGACCCCTGCAGCCAGATCCCACAGCCTGGAAGTTCCTCCCGCCCTCCCCGCCTCCGCCCGCTTCCTTTCACTTTCTCACCGGCCTTTCATCCTTTCCCATCTCTTTTTCCCAGGGAAACAAGGCCCAGTCACCAACATAAAAATCCAGAGAAAGAGCTCTGACACTTGGCCAAACTTGGTAAACTAACTTGTTAGCAGAATCGTTCTAACCTAGGATTAATATCAGGCCCTAGCTCCTGGATTCCAGGTGGAATATCTCTGGGTCATGCCTATTGCTTAACACCCTCACCTTTCAATGTACCTTCCCATGTGTGACAACGTTTAGGTTAAAGAAATAAGTCTTTGGGTATATTTTTACAGCCTGAGCCCCCAGTTTTTCCTATTTGGCAAAGATCATATTCTCAAGAAGCTAAAATGGCATCCCTTTACTTCTTGCAAAAGACCAGTTGCTTATACCTAGATGATGATGATTATAGGAGGATTATTGAAACTAGGGGTGCTATATTATTCAGCTACATTGCAATCCTTTTTATTTTTTCTGTTGAGACACTTTACTAAATTTCCCAGGCTGACCTCAAATTTGCAGTCTTCCTGCCTCAACCTCCTGAGTCACTGTGATTACAGGGGTGCACCACCAGGTCAGGCTTCACCTAGAATTTTACTTTATTTATTTACTGGGGATTAAACCTAGGGGAGCTCTAACATTGAGTTACATTCAGCCCTTTTTATTTTGAGAGACGGTATCACTAAATTGTTCAGGCTGGCCTCAAACTTGCAATCCTCCTCCCTTAGTCGCTGGGATTACAGGTGTGTGCCACCGTGCCTGTTAAGAAAGGACTGTTGTAAATTAAAGAACAATGAGGAAATATGGAAAGTAAATGCAAAGTGTGAAATGAGTCAAAAAAGTTATAATAGTCATTACTAGCATAATTCAGGGAAATCAAATATGGCTTAGATATTAGATAATTTGATTGTATCAATATTAAACAGGAAGGTTATTGGCATTACCAATTTAAAAGAAACTGAACTGAGTTTATTCCAAGCCAGTTTATCCAGCACCTCCCCACACACATTTTGGCACTGACCATCAGTTAGGCCATATGCTTGCCTTCATTATTTTTTTTTCCCTTAGTTTGTTCAAGCTAGGCAATAGCTTTGTCTTTTATCTGAAAATGAGGTACTAACTAGCATTTATGGGTTTTTGTTTTGTTTTTTGGTGCTGGGGATTGAACCCAGGGTTTCACACATGCCAGGCAGTTTTTATGTTCTTAGTGTTATAGACTTTCTGTGTTTTTATTTTCATTGTGCTGGGAATTATACGCAGGGTCTCATGCATGCTAAGCAAGCAAGCACTCCAGCACTGAGCTATGTCCCCAGCCCTGTATTTCTTTGTATATGTTTTCCACTTAATCATTTTAAATTTTTATTTATGTAGCTATGCTGGGGATCAAACCTAGGGCCTTGTGCATGCTATAGGCAAGTGCTCTACCACTGAACTACATCCCCAGCCCTTTATAATTTATTTTCAGACAGGGTTTTGCTAAATTACCTACCTAGCCTTGAACTTGCAATCCTCCTGCCTCAGCCTCCTGAGTAGCTGGGATTACAGGTGTGTGTCACCATGCCTGGATATTTTCTTGGCCAAGGGGCTGGGGACATACTTGCCTCAAATGCACAAAGCCCTAGGTTCAATTCCCAGCACCAAAAAAAAAAAAAAAAAAAAAAAAAAAAAAAAAAAAAACCTGGCTTTAAGATCACCAGGATCTATTAACTTTTTGTTTTTTTCCAGTGCTAGGGATTGAACCCAGGGCCTTGTGTATCCAAGGCAAGCATTCTACCAACTGAGCTATACCCCCAATCCAATTATTAACTTTTGATACAAATACACTTGGGACTTCTCACATTTTCTCTCTCTCTTATTGGTACTGGGGATTGGACCCAAGGGTACTTTACCACTAAGTTACATTCCCCAGCCCTTTTTATTTGTTTGTTTTAAATGTGGCATTTATACACAATGGAGTATTATTTACTTATTTTTAGTTCTCGGCGGACACAACATCTTTGTTTGTATGTGGTGCTGAGGATCGAACCCGGGCCGCCCGCATGACTGGCGAGCCCGCTACCGCTTGAGCCACTCCCCAGCCCCTGTTGTTTTGTTTTGAGACAGGCTTTCCCTAAATTGTCAGGCTGACCTTGAATTTATCTTCCTGCTTCAAACTCCTAAATCCCTGGAATTACAGGCTTGTACCACCATGCCCAGTTTGGAATCTCATATTCTCAATGTGCAGATGATCCATTCTCAAAACTGTTAGGGTAAAGGGAAAACAGAAATGTTTATTATTTTAATGAACAACTGTAGAGCATTTACTTGGTGCCAGGCACTCTGTATTTCATTTAATCAATTTTTTTTTCCAGTATCCAGTGGACACAACATCTTTAATTTATTTGGTGCTGAGGATCGAACCCAGTGCCCCGCACATGCCAGGAGAGCACTTTACGGCTTGAGCCACATCCCCAGCCCTGCTATTGGGTATTAAACCCGGTGTGCTATACCACTGAGCTATACCTCAGCCCTTTTTATTTCTTTATTTTGAGACAGGGCCTTGCTAAGTTGCTGAGGCTGGGCCTTCAACTTGCAATCCTCCTACATTAGCCTCCTAAGTCGCTGCAATTATAAATGTACTCTACCCCACTCATCCTCATTTAATCAATTCTTTGAGATCTATTACACTTCTCTACTGCTGATGAAAAAAAAAAAAAACTAAGAATCTGAAGGGGGTTGTTAAATTACCTCAAGTTCACTGAGTTCATTAACTCAGTGATGGCCAGTGATGGAGTCAGAACTTGAATCCAGGTGAGTTGACTGCAGAACCTGAGCTCTTGGCTATTCATTAGTCTCTGCTTAAATTGAAATCCACTCTATCTTGATGTTAACCTTTTCACTGTGTTGTTCTAAGTCCATGAAAGACAGAGCCTTTACTCTGATGATCAATGGAATTTTCATATCCCCCTATAGTCTCCTGGGATATATCTTTATATTTTTTATTTGTTCTTTTAAATCTGGGATATATTTTAAATTATGAGTCTGTTTCTATAAAGGTCTAAGTTGGAAGAGTCATTTATTTTTAAGTTTCTTTCCCCCTCTATGATTATGGGGGAATCTTTGAAAAGAAAGTTTAAGTAAAGCACTTTGTGCTAAAGCAATGAGAATAGGAAGAAAATGCGTCTGTTTCACCTAAAAATTTACAATTTTCAACTCTAAAAAAATTGAGATTTCAAATGTTAGACCTTACATATGACTTGTTGGTTAAGGAGAAGCTGCTTGCTTATATGGCTTTGAATCCAGCAGATCTTTTATTGTAAGCTGTTTTTATTCTTGAGATCCCAAAGGGGCCTCTGAACAGTGAAACGTAACTTGCCCTAGAGTGAGGCCAGAAAGCTATTTCTGACTGTCATTCATTAATACACCTGAGAGCATTTTAAAACAGTGCAAGGAAATTCTACAACCAGCTGAGAATGTGTCCTCAGAGTGGGCAGATTCAATTTTTAAGGAAAAATATTCTGAATTTGACTGATTATTAAGTACAAAAGAAATTGTATAAACAGCTGGGAAGTGTTTTCTTTTTTCTTTTTTTTTTTTTGGTACCAGAGAGATTGAACCCAGAGGCAATAACACCAAGCCACATCCCCAGCCCTTTTTAATATTTTATTCAGAGACAGGGGCTTGCTTGCTAAGTTATTTAGGGCCTCACTGAGTTTCTGAGGCTGGGGGCTTTGAACTCACAATCCTCCTGCCTCAGCCTCTGAGCTGCTGGGATTACAGGCATGTGCCCAGCTGGGATCACTAAAAAAATAAAAGCCAAAGCCAGGCAGTGGCACACACCTGTAATCCAGTGATTAAGAAGCTGAGGAAGGAGGATCACAAGTTCAAGGTCAGCCTGGGCAACTTAGTAAAACTGTCTCAAACAATAAAAAGATTTGGGGATGTAGCTCAGTAGTAGTGTTCTTGGGTTCAATCTCCGCTAACACACACACACACACACACACACACACACACTCCCACACACAAAGAGCTACCATATTTTCAAAAGCATCCCCTCTACCTTGGTCCCTTATGGACTACACACACTTCTGCTTGGACTCACTTGTTTCCCTTCTTACCTAAAGCCCACGCTATTACTCTTCCTACCTTTATGGCTCCCCCTTCCATCTTGAACCACCTTGGCCCTGACCTGTGGGCCTGTATAGAAATAAGGAGAGAAACCCCTTAGTTAACCTAAAAATAAAATGTTCAAAGGCACCAAATATTTGATCCTACTTCATTTACCCTGTTGCCTTATGAGAGAGCTTTCTATTTTTCTGCCTTTGACCTGGCTGGGTTGAGAAGGGAGCCATGAGAGAGCTCAAACCTTCTTTCCAACCTTGCATAAGTGGTATAGACATGAAGAGATCCTTGTGGAATGTAAGTGACTGTGACAGCATAGGGGCAACACATAGAGAGGCACGTGTTCATTATGTATGGCTGGAAAAATTATCTGTCTCCAGGGGGACATGTTTCACTGTGCATTAGCTTCCAGCCGCTTCCTTCTCCTACATCTCTGCCCACTCTGTGGCTGTCCTTCTCAGTCTCCTTTCCCACTCCCTGTCTCTCCACCCCATAGTCCAGTTCTGCCTGTCACTGTCTCCATCCATCTTTCTCAGCCATGTCCATGTCTCCTCTGCACTTTGTTCAATCTCATGCTTGCTGTCTGGGAGCTGCTTTTCTGTGACTGTCTCATTTGTCTGTTGTTCTCTCTAGC